CGGAGGAACTCGATCCTCTGATACACGCACTCCTTGATCTCCTCTATACGACGATAAGCTACTGACTGGATATACATTGGCGGTGCTTGTCCAATTTCACTGAGTCACGACTACCGCGTAACGAATAGTGAGAAACGCTTTATCATGATGGTATGCACTCAAGGGCTCCGTAAGGGACAATATTGGCAGGCAGCGCATCAATCCTGCTGGTAGTCAATGATTGATCTTGTACAGCCTACTTTCAAGCTTGATCTTCAGTTGATGGCCCAGTTTGAATAAGACGCTAGAGGTAACGGTTCTCATGGGGGGGTCCAGGAGGGATATTAGCGCAGGGAACATTATTCCGGCGGTCCAAAAATTTGGGTTTGACCTAGCAGGGTTGAAATTGGCTGGACCCTAGTGCAGACTCAACCGCAGGAATATCTTAGCGACAGATGAGTGGTCGAATCTCAGTCCGTGCCTTGACACCACACAATATCCACAGATCGGCCTCACCTTACGAGTCGGCGCAAGCTAGGGATTGGTTCCTGTTCCTGGCGACCCCGTCTTTGATCTGTCGATGGTTTACCCCTCCATGTGTTGAATCACCCAGGCTTGAGCTGATCTCCTGCGCACAAGCCCCATAACGATGACGTCTTCGGGCAACGCCTATCAACTGATTTCTTAGACTATATGAATACACTCCGACCTTCAGTCGCATAGGAAACGGCCGATCTTAGGTAGAATTTCATACTGGCGTGATTCCTACCATTTTGTTGCACCCTGTCCTAAGCACCGGTCATTCCATACCGGCAACAGTCTTAATTGGGGCTTTGATAATATAATGGCCATACCTGAGACAAAGCCAAGGCGTAACCACAGGATAATTGTTAACTGCGGACTCCACGTGCTTGTGACCGATGTCGTCTGAAGAGGTCCAAATGTGACGGTATTGTGCCTTGCAGGACGTGTCAAGTCAATGATAGTGCCTGTAAGTATACTGCAAGAAGGGCGCGAGAAGCCAGATGCTAGTAAGCCCATCAAAATCGACAATGACGATATGTCTGGGAGTCTACTTACGACGAAAGTAGTTATTACTACATGCGCGAGGTGACTGATGAAGCCCTTCAACGTCTTTACCAGGCATGTCGAAGTAACACCGGTTTTCCTGGCGATATTGCTGATGAGTCCCATGGCCCACCATCAACCACTGAAATCCTCACAAACCAGACGGCTGCATGTGGGGTAGTCTAACTAATATTCTGGGCGTATGCCAGAGCATCTTCATGGAGCTACATAAACTTGAGCTCAAATCCCAGGATTTCTCAGGACTTGTATAAGACTTTCTGATCCTGTGCTGCTCATACATCTCTGCTGTGTCACACTTTATCGGATGGCTGAGGTCGTAGGGTTATCCTCAGGCATGCTGGCACTAGCTATCTTCGCCTTCCAGTCCAGCATTACACTAACTTGTTATGAATTGAAACGTGCAATCCATAGATCCACGCTAACGTCCATCATGGGTTCCTTAACGGGGAGGTAAGAGGTATATCATATAGTAGTGTCTTATTGATGAAGATAGTGGACGTTTAGTGGTCTGTTCGTACAAGTTCAGCTGTGCAAGGGATAGAGGTTCATTGGACACTGATGGAAGACGGTAGAATGACCTCTGGTCATTCTACCCTATGTCTATATAGTAGACAGTCACTACCACTAGAATCAAACAATACAACAATCAATCAATTAATCCAATCAAGATCCATAACCTCCTTCACTTATTGTAAACCCTGGGGGTTCGACTATATCTTAAGTTGACCACGAAGGTCCTATCTAATGTTGGGTAAAGGAGTGTACTTATATAGACCTTCACCCTTTGTCCTTGCTCCGTCCTGCTCCGTGTGCTCTGGTGGCTCTGTCCCTGATCACACTGATCACACTGATCCAAGGGATCTGTTGAAGGCTTGGCAGTCAGAAATGCACTCCAGGAATTATCCATTTGTCTCTCTGTTTTCTCTACTCATGGAGGCTGTTCTTCCTCCTATATAAATTACGCGTAGAGACGATCTAGAATGGCCTTTTCCGCATCTCCTGAGGCCCTTGTTGAGCTGTAATAACTGGTGGAAGACCCTGTCCTGCTGAGGGTTTGGTCCTTTTCGACCTGACAACTGCACTAGTGGTAGATTGCAGTACGGTGGATCATTACGGTGGAGTATAGAACGCTTGGCAGCAACATAACCCAATGTCGCACTTTTCATGCTAAAGCGATAAAAGGTCAGGTGATCTTTGATGTAAACAGCAGTGTTATTTTCTTGATTGATTATGAAGCACAGCTGGATTACTAAATACAGTTGTTTCCACAAGGCTCGCCATGATCATACCGATCCTGCGACACCCAGTTACTCTCATTCGGGGCTGTTGCGCCACCGAGGACGGTGGCTAATACCCCAACTTCAGCGCACTACAGCCCAAGTGAACATCTGCGCCTTCCTCCGCAGATGTCGCAACACTGAAGTGGCTGGACAACAGTCTCCTCCGGGCTACGTCAAACTCGGTATAGCCACAAGCTGGACCACCAACGCATTTCCCGTTCTATGGTTGATCTTACTGTTAGGTCTATCACATGAGCGTCTGCCAATAAGAACATTCATCCGTGGCCGGGTAAACATCTCGTGGCTTATAACTGCTAGAATATAGTTGGTGGTGTAAAAGACTCGCTTTTCGGGCGACGCCGTCCGCCGCTTTGCGAGTCTCCTGCACCCTGTGGCTTGACCCCTCCAGCCACAGCTCGATAAAGGCCTGCCCGGCCTGAACGCTGTCTCTTTCTCCCTTCCTTCTCCCCTACTCCCTGGGTCCTCGTCCTCGTCAGCAGCCTCCACCGTCTCACTCCACCCCGTCTGCCTCCGCCGCTTCTGGGCTACCAAACCTTCGTGAGCCACGATGGTCGCGCCATCATAGCGGGTTCCTAAACCCTCCCCGCCCCCTTCACTTTGCACCTCGACACCCCCCTCCTCTCTTCCCACCTCTCATACAAACAGTAGGTGCGTCCCTCGAGCCTCATCTCCGTAGGCTACCACAGCCGAACACTGTTCATAATTGGGTTCGACAGGTAGTCGAACCTGCCTCCATCCTTGGGTAGGTTCGCTTGATCTTAAGGTCTGTCAATTCTTGAGAGCTGATTCTTTGGCAGTAACGGAATTGGCTACCGCCAATGGCAGCAGAGATCCTATGGTCCCAGCAGCCAATGAGTCAAAGTTTCTAGGCAACGGATCCTCCCTCTACTGTGGATTCTGAGATATATTGAACTCAAAAACCGGCGTCAAAAGACTCAAAACGCCCCAGCAGGTAGTTCTTCCCACCCGAACATTTCGACATCCGGGGATGCTGAAACGCATCCCACCTGTAATGCAAGAAGGAGGATTTCCTGCCCCTGCATCAACAGAAGCTTCTTCAGTTGGATTGGTGGATGCGTCATCGGTGGGCGCTTTGTCATTGGGAGCTTGGACATAAGAAAGCTTTGTCACTTAAGGCTGGTCAGCGGATCTGCAATTGAAGGAAAGTTCCTTGGTCGAAGCGCTCGGCAGAACATCGGCTGACGACGCGAGAACGAGGGTCCACAAATGCCTTTATATCGAAGAGGGCGGTCAACCAATTACTCAGGATAGTATTTTGGACATCAAGACACGGTCTGCATTTGACTTCAAAACTCGCACGATCAAGGAGGAAATTGACGTGACCGACGTCATCCCGACGCTCTGGATTTCCCAGACTCCAATACTTACTGTCGGATTTCACGACCGTGGTTTATTCGAATACGCTCGTATTAAGGATATGCGTACGGAAATAAAGGAGTTGGAAGCGGAAAACGCTGAGAACCTTTGCACACTTGCATCTTTGCTGCACGAACTAGTTGAGTGCGCTAGAACTTCCCGGACTAAAAGCTCTTCCCTCTGAGTTGAAAGCTAGGTGGATGGGAAAGCCTGAAGACAATGAGAGGACGAGTCGCGAGGATGGGGCCCCCCGCGATTCTGATGACGGCTCCGGCGCACATGTTGTTTAGGTGTTGCGGCGGACATTTGCGACCATGGAACAGATTCGGGCGATGAGTCTGTGAAAGATTACACGGCGTGTTCACTTGAGAACTGTGGATATTGTGGTCACTGCCCCTATTAGCTCCATGTGACCGAAACATTGAATTTAGAATGAAGAATTTCGATTAGCACCTGTCATAGGTCATGCAGCGATGTGCGGTAGAATATGTGTGACTTCAAGCGTAATCTCGGGCCTCACAGAGTTGGCATGTTCAGGCACAATATAGTCTTATTCCCGTACATTTCGACGTGGATACATCCACTGCGACGAGTTTCATCAACTGTATCGATAGTTGGGGTTAGTGGATACCGTTTCCTGGCGGAAGCCATGTTACATACACTCTTTGTTATTCGGGTTTGGGAACGTAAAACGATCAGTAGTGTGGCGAGACTGATGACGAGGGGCCACAAGCGAGTTATGGAGAGGTCGATTGCACTTTCATGGGAATTGAGCCTAAAAGACATTGCAATAAGCTCCGAGAACCTGCAGGAGTACTTACTAATTGCAGATGCCTTAAAGTCTCTATGTTCTACTGTACCCAGTAATCGCGATTGGCCAAACACGTTGCTGCTCTTGAAATTCAAGAGCACCTGCGGAAAAAGATCTACTCGCCAGGCCGCAATCTCCTCGGACAGTGTCTCCGACTTACAACATTATTCGAGTTGGCAAACACCGACTAGCTCTGCAGAGTCAAATTCCATTTGAGTCAGGCTGCATCTGTCAATGACTTCAAATCTATGTCTACAATCCACTGTGTCTCGCTGCCAAAGGAGATCCGAGATATATGCAGAAAGCGTCGGAGTTAGAGAGCGGAGAAATCTTCCCCTTACTTGGTTCAAGACGTCGAGAAACGCAGCGAACACGGGTAGAGGAAGTCGCTCGAGCCTAGACATAAAATTCAGCATTACGTTGATCACATATGGACGAATCACTTACTTAGCAGCCGATATCCCTTCAATGGGTATCAGGGCAACTGCCCCCGTTGAGATCGTCTCCTGTAGCAAGACATAGTTTCGGGCGGCAGAGAGCCGATATTGTAGCTGTGATTTCTTTCGCACGAATTCGTCGTCCTGTGGATTGGGGGAGCCTCGGACGGGCATGCGGAGATGGGGATAACACTCAACCACGAGGTCATGGAGAGCTGCCGTGTCGGTCTTGCTAGCAGTGGAACCCCCACCTTCAGTGCCTCCACCACGCGGAGGCATGTTACTTTTCATTGATTTTCTTCTGCGAGACGACTGTCGTAGCCCGTTCTGATCCTTGTGCCACTTGTCCAGCTCCCGGCGGCGCTGGGACAGACTGATAATGCCGTATCTTCGCGCTAACGGGGCACTGAGCTCGACTTGATCCAACCAGTGGCTGATATGCGCCATACTAGTGGGGTTTTGTGTGCGGGATACCATTTGTCGTCTGATTGTTAGCACAGCATCCTGTACTTGGGCGACGGCTGAAGGTGAGCCAATCAGGAAAAAAAGTTTCGTTAGGAGGCGTAAATCTTCCTCAGGGTGGTGTTGACAACGACCTCGAAGCATAAGATAGACAGCGTGAGGTTCGATTGTGCCACGTGGGAGTTCTGGGAGATCTCCAAGGGATAGCTCCAGCGTTCGCGTCGAATCTAAGGCTCGAACCTGCGTTTCCGGATTGGTTTTTGTCCTCTTCTTTGGCGGCTTTCGACTCGGTGCATGGCGTTTCTTACTGGCTCCCTGTTGTGCTTGCTTTTTCGACGCCTGCATGCGTGAGTTGTCATTGCGTTTATCTAATTCATCTTCGTCTTCCTCCTCATCCTCCTCCTCCATCTCCTCCTCCTCCTCCACTCCTCCTCCTTCTTCTTTTTCCTTTTCTTGTGGTTGCTCCTCTTCCTCCACCTCTTCTGAATGTTCCACTTCACTGCTGTACTCCTCTCCTCCTTGATTCCCTTCTTCGGGTCGGAAAAGTATATCAGCGCTGACTGTGGGATCGGAATGGTTCTTATCGTTTTCTCCGTCATCTGTCCTCATACTTTCGTCGTCATCCCCAAGTATCGGAAAAATATTTCCTAACTGTGCCTGCGTTTGGGACCATGTGGTACTTTCATCTGATTTATCCGAAGCAAAAATTCCTGTAGCTGAGGTTTCTGTGGTTTCATGAAGTGTTCCATGGGATGAGGAGTTCCGTGAACCATTATCCTGAACGATTTCCACCAAAGTGGGAGCCTCATCGTCGCCGCCCGAATACTCTTCATCTAGATCAAGTGCAGAACCACCAGAAGGATGTTCTGATCCGTAGTTTTCCGAACTCGCATACATGGATTCATCAAATTGGCTCTCGAGAACACCATTCACGTTAGTTACGTCTTTATAGGTGAATGATGGTGTATCGAGAATGTTGTTGTCGGGAACCCGGCACCCAGTCAATACTCTTTGGGTGACTCTCTCACCTATGTTATCATTGGATCTCATAATTACTTCAGTACCCCCCGGGTTGAGGCTTTGAGCCTTAAGTCGTTTGACAAATCCATCTACTTCCCCGCAAAAGGAGTTGATAACATCAGACAGATGGGGAAACGTTTTACACAGGACACCTTCACTGTGAGCAATGGAATTACCGTCCCATGTTTGTGCATTGACTGCTTCGAGGATAAAGTCGTGTAGCCTCTGAGACAGGCTGGAGGTATTAACTAATGAAAAGCCATATCCAAAGGCCTTGTGTTTAGGCGTTCTCAAGCATGAGTCGGAGTTTCGACGCCTAACCATTGTCATGAATGGTCGTACAATCAATCTCACGTGATAAAGACGTGACTAAGCTGATTTGCGGATGGACGTGTGGACGTGGTATTGTAGATGGTCCAAATGACTAAAGAGATGCGCAACGAGCTAGTGAAAGTATGTCTGGGGTTTAGTATGAACACTGGGAACCCGATGCCTTTTGATCTCAGAGCATGCGGGGATGACGTCTTGTTTAGTACAAAATTAGAAGCTGACGGCTATTTATAGCTACAGGTTGAAAATAGAAGCTCTGGTCATTGTTCTGCTCCTCCCAGCGGAACAGGAATAAGGTCTAGTTCAATGTGTGGCGATAACCATTCGATTTACATCTTTGAAACTTGGTACAGTACTCGCACACAAATAATCTATTTATCACACCCGGTGGCGGAGCCGAAAGGGCAGAGATTTCATGTTGCGGGTTCGCCTTAGTCAGCGTGCTCGTTTGCTCTTGAAATTCAAGACCTGAGAGCAGTCTTCGCACAATATAACTTTATCCACAGCTCAACTCTTAGCACACCCTTACAACCTTTGAATGATATTAGCTCATTACTTTAGCCTCCTTGCCATATTTTCGGTTTTTGTTCTGCTAAGCACGCGCATTGACAACAACGCACGAGCTCTCTTTGGTCTGCATCCAGGTGCTTCCGCTTCCGCGAATAGCTCGACATCCGGGAGGGTTCATCCGTATATTTCCTCACAGCATCCGCTTCTATACATGCAAGCAAACCTCGAACAAACTCCATCTTCATGCACTTGGGATCCAGCACGGTGTTCCAGTCTCCAACAGGAAGACTTTTTGACAGACGTCGACAGTCCTGGACAACCATGATGCCGCAGCTCCAGCTGCCGATCTGCTGCGGAGTAGGCTATTTGAGTAGAAACGATTTGCCTGTCGATCGTGAAAAGCAACTAGGGACCAGTATCACTATCTCTTCGCTATGTACGTATTCCCAATCTGCAATTCCTCCTGCCATCGTCTTAGGAATATTCCGGTCGACATCCTCCCGGCAGGGGCGTCACCGGCACTAGCCGACCAACCCTCGTCTGCTGAGAGTTGCCTTCGATCATCAAGATTCTCTTTACATGAAACATTCGCTGAGAGTTGTTCGTTTTATTGAAACTTTGACCATTTACGACTCTCACAGTATCATAGAACGTTCGAAAGGAAACCATTCATAAAAAACCACATCACAGCCAATTTCTTGCTACTCATCATGAAATCAGTTACCCGAAGATAAGCCGACTGAAATAGTCTTGTACCGTCGGTAGATGATGGTGGTGTAGCTGAGGGTGGAGGCCTCCAAGCGAGATAAAGCTTCTGGTGACAAGACGAAACGCTGAATGATTGCGGATGGCTCGCAAGAAACTGCTGGCAGAGAAAACAAGTCTTCTTGCTTACCCTTATAAAGCGGAAGGTAGGTTTTCTGCCTCGGTCCGTAAGAAGGTGCAGGAGTGACAGTGTCGAATTGGGGAGCTTACTTTGGCCGATCATTTTGAAGAAGGTGTGGGCCGTGATTTCTTATTGACCGCTTTGACATGAGATCAGGAAGCTGCTTAACGTCACACTGCTGTCGCCTGCATCTAGGAAGGTCGGTACCTCGAGAATAATTAATACCACCGTCTGTGCCTGTACCCCGCATGATTACTTGATAATTGGACTGTGCATGTTCGATAGTGCGTTCCAGGAAGGGCCAGACGAAAAAGTTTGTTCCTCACCGTCCAGCCGCAACCCTTTCTGGATCGGAAGTCAACAGGAGGATCTTCTCATTGGTAACGGGCAACATGAGCACCTTCGCTTGTTGCACGAATCTGCATGCCGATGGATAAATGCTTCAAGGCGGTCTTGTACCTCTTTCCAAACATCTTCAACTTCCACCCGACCTAACACCATGCTGAATACGAAAGCCGCAGCCGAGCTGCACGAAGGCCTACTAAGGTATGACCTGGTTTTATCTGTCGTGTTGCAGACAGAGCTGATCTCGCAGTTTGTTAAACACGCAACGCTGGTCGGACTTGAAAATCAAAAGCGTGAAAAGAGAGTATCGCGTCCACAAAGCCGTGGTATGCTGTCGCTCAAGTACATTCACCGCAATGTGCTCAAATGATTGCCTGGTATGAAGTGAACTCGACAGAAAACGAACTGAGTTGACGGCAAATCCCAGGAAAATCATGAAGGTAAGATAGAGTTGCCCGATGACGACGGCGACGCGGTCGACTGCATGATACAATATTTATATTCCCTGGACTACGACTGTGACAAGTGTCGTTTCGCCCGCAAGGGGAAATCGCCAGAAGCTGATTCGCACGACGGACCGGACTGTGGACCGGATGGTTCATCAGCCAAGCCTCAAGAGCCACGTGAGAGTGAACACGTCGTACAGCTCAACACCCCCAATCGCGACCAGTCAGACGTCACCTCTGAGGTCGAAGTCGCCCAAGCCGTCGAACAATTGCTGCTTCACGTCCGCGTATTCGTTCTGGCGGACAAGTACGCCATCTCAGGGCTAATGGATCTCGCACAAAGCAAGTTGGACGCGGCATTGAGGAAACAAGAACTAGGACCCGAAATATTTCAAGTGGTGCGCGAGGCATATGCGTGGTCTCCAGAGTCCGCACGCCCGCTTCGCCAGCTCTTAGTGGACAAGGTCTACTCAGACATCCGGTTTTGGATGATCCACGATGCGTTCTTGGACATCGCCGTCGAGTGGACGCAATTTTGCGTAGACGTGCTGCAAACCACGGTCCGAGAGGAGACGAAGAAGTTTGAAGCCGCGGTCGCGGATGTAGGGGACCCGGGGCACTGTTCTTCCTGTCAAGGTTCACTCGTCCTTCGACGCTTGGTGTCGCGTCGAAGGAACTCCCACCTGGAAAAGTATTGTCCGCAATGCTCAACGTGGGTTTGAAAAACTCGGCGCCTTTTGTAGTGTATTTGAGCTTCCTCATCGGAATCGCACGCATCTGTGCGAGATTTGCCCGGTAGCACGTCAAAGCCAATTCATCTCAACGGAAGGCTCTCTTCTTGACCTGCCCTAAATTGATCAGTCCCAATCCATGGGCTCGGATGAACCAACCTTGATCCTACCCCTAGTTCCCCGAGCACTCCCAGTCTCCAACAACACGCATCGTGCAGGTCCTGTTTGCGAAGCACATGCTCAATCTCGTGGTTGCGGTGGGACCATTATGTCGTAGAAGTACCCCGATCAGCGGTCTTGTGATGTATAAATAGACAGCACAGACCATGAATAACTATAGATACGAGTAGAATAATTGCGTTTCCCGAATATCGTAGTGGTTGCCTCGTGTTTCAAGAGTGGGGAACATAGCTGAAATGCGAATATGTAACTTGAAGCGGTCTGTAAGATTGTGATTTTGCGACATCAAATTCCGAACCCGTATTCGCTCTTGTAGCTGTTACCAAACCTCGCGTGATTGATGTGGAATGAGACGACATCATCTCCACAATCGATCGTAGCTGATCCTCGCACGACGCCCCACAATCCCCTTTTGCCTGATCCAGACTGAGGGAGCTGTTCGCTCGTTGAAGGGCGGCGGCTTGTTGTCGTAGAAGTTAAGAAGCTGCATTTCAGCATGAACAGGCAGTTGTAATGTACAAGTATCTCTGAAATGAGCCTCTGGGTCCCGAACCTCCCAGATTCGGGCGAGTCGGGAGGTATAACTGTCTACTTGCCGGCCACTAGTAAGTCTTCGAAGTACGGTCGCCAGGGGCATCTCGTCTTCCAGAATCGCGAATAAGACTCGCTGAGGGGGAATTGCAGGTTCCACAAGCATTGGGTTGAACAGGTTCGGAAATTCTGATGCAAACTGCAGTATGGCTATGGAGACGATTGCATACCGTCCGAGCTTGTATATTGCGCAGACCCATCGGGGTAACGTGGTGGGAAATAAAGCTTTTAGAGACTCAAGGTAAGTTCGTCTAGCTTCTCAAGCCTATCCAACGTGATCCAAGATTTTCAGGAAGAGCGTCGGGAGGCAACTCTTGTATTGAAAAGACTTGTGCTACCCATTCAGGAAAGCTTGCTGCATGGTCAATGTGGAGGAATGCCGGTGCCGACCTGAAGCCCTCGACGACTTCATCCAATTCATCATTGATGTTGCGGATATCCTTTTGTACGACCGTATTCTGACGGCATCAAGGCTGGTAATCCGCATTAGGACTTCCGACTGCTTGTCGGATGTGGTGCATTCTGCAACACGGGGCCAGTTAAAGTGGTTGATTTGGTGGCCTTATCGAAGCTACTCATTCCCAGCTGCAACGGCATTCAGAATAGCCACCAGTTCCCGAAGCTCGCGAAGAGTAGCTTCTCGGACTCCCTCATTACTTGCAACGCGAATGACTGCCCCCCCCCGGGAAGACCCTCCTCCAGACAAGCCGCGGATACTGTGTCGCCATCTTTCTTCTTGGCGCAGATAAAGGCGAAAGATTCAAGAAACCTCTTCTTAAGGAGCCGCTCTCGATTTTGTTCAAGTGCGTTCAAGTCCCGATCGAGATCATACGCCGTTGGTTCGCCTCGCACGGGGTCGAGCGAATGGAGGAGAGCTGCAATCTGAACAAAGCGACTCTGAATGGTTCCAGTGATTTCAAAAACCAGCATCATTCTTAATTTTGACTATCAAACCTAGCGAGGACGTACGGGCCATGGGATAGTGCATTGATAGAACACAAAGAGACAGGGAGGCGGCATTCGACGGTAGGCGAACCACGGGTACTTCATTGATGAGAATCGAAATCAGGTTAACCCCATCTGAGGCCCTTGTCGAGTTGTAATAACTGGTTGTCCTGCTGAGGTTTTAGTCTTTGCCAAGCTGACAACTGCACTAGTGGCAGAT